TACAAATTCATCATCACTAAAAAGTCTCTACAAAAGTCCATTTTCTGTACAATATTCACAAGCCCAATTAAAGTCCATTTCATTGTATTTAAAGCCATTTATTTTTTGTACAATCAATTACCATACAAATACAAAAAAAGGGAAAGTCAAACTTGACTTTCCACTCTCCAAAGACAACACACGCCTACGCTCCTAAACAAAAACAGACCATGCTCCACAAACGTCCAAATTTACTGCATCTCTAAACCCGCGAAAAACGTATTCTACATTGAACATTCAGCATGCCAACATAAGCAAAAACCAAGAACCCTGCAGATCGTACTATGACTTCACACTCCACAGTTCTGTCAAATGTTATGCTCTTAACCTTGATCACGGACTTAGAGTGTTAGTCAGATAGAACTGCAAGCATACAGTGTATCATGTAGTTTTAAAAGACTTTTGAACCCACATGGATTAATAATCAACCTAAAGTGATCTATATTGCGTTGTAGAGCTAAGGCTTAATGCCACAGAATAAATAAAGGGAAGAAAAATAACTAATACTGACGGGTTTAAAACAAATAATGAAACGAGACGAAGAATGATTTCTGCGCTCCTAAGGGACTCTATTGATTCTGGGTGCTAACAAGGGTCTCAAGAACAGTTCTGTAGGAATTTCCAGATTAAAAACTCAATCTCATACTCTTGCACTATTGGCGAAGCCACACTTAATAACCTTAATATTTTGCTCTCGCTCGCTCGGTAGTTAAAATACGTATTTTGAAAACTAACAAAGCCTAACTGAAGCCTAAAGCGCACTCGCTGCATTTAAGTCTAGTGCTCAGTGTCTACTATCCAGTGATTACCTCAAACTCTCTCTATTAGACACACCTTAATATATTTCTCACTCTGGTGACCAAACACTGGTCTCCTCGAACATCTGGTTCATCTTGTGGAAAGTGTTGAATGTGATCTCCAATGTGGTGTACCTCTCCATGTAATCCTGCCATACCCGATACAATATCCCTCAAGTTAAGATGAGTCCTCTCCATGAACTCTAACTGCCTCCAATGCATATCGAGCAAGGTCACATCACGCTCATCCTCTTTCTCTCTCTCTCTCTCTCTCTCTCTCTCTCTCTCTCTCTCTCTCTCTCTCTCTCTCTCTCTCTCTCTCTCTCTCTCTCTCTCTCTCTCTGCTGCCTGAGCTCTGATAGGATCTTGTCAAATGTCGTGCGCATACCTGCAAAATCATCAGACAAAGGTGCAGTGTGTGGTGCGGTACTCGGATCGGGTGCGTCAGAAGCAGGACTACGGGCACGGGACTGTGAAGAAGTCTGCCTCCTAACATCAACATTTTCTACCTCTAAATCACGCGCATCTAAATCAAACAACCAATTACCGTGAATGCGCACACTAATGCGCTCTGGGTTAGGCAAGGAGAAACTGCAGACCTCGCGGGTACGCACCATGATATGATACTTGCCATTGGGCAAGTGTTTACTGTGAATTTTGGTAAACAACCGCTAGTCTATCAATTTAGGGTAAAATTGAGTAACTTGCAGGATCGACCATACTAAATCCTAGAACATGTACGAAACATGCAAAAGACCCTAATCTGAACTCCACGTTCGACTGTGAAATCTTTGTAAAGTAAAAATGACTTGAAGATTAAAGGCAATATGTAAAAGTGCAATAATGTAAATGCTTTGGAAGTAAATGTCAAAAGTAAATGCAGTAGTGTAAAGGCCTTTGAAAATAAAGAACTTTGAAAGTAAATGACTTTGAAAAATAAAGGTGCAAAAGACTCTAATCTGAACTCCACGTTCGACTATGAGATCTTTGAAAGTAAATGCGTGTGAAGGTAAATGACTTTGAAAATAAAGGTGCGTAAGACTGTAATCTGAACTCCACGTTTGACTATGAGATCTTTGAAAGTAAATGCGTGAAACGTTAAATTTGCAGGTTAAGGTAAAGTGCAGAACGTTAAATGGCATGAAATGTAACTGAAAGTAAAGTTGCAAAAGGGCTTGAAAAGGTAGTTTAAATGTAAAGGATGAAGGTTAAAACACATAATAAGTAACAGTGCATAAATGGTAAAGACAAGTAAATTGCATTAATGAAAAGGAGTTGGTGTTGTATCACGTACATTTCTCGCTAACTCGTTTCTCTACACGCGGGTACTTTAAGTGATTTAGAGTGACTAGTACAAGATGAATGAACACCCTTATTACATGAAAATAACAACTATTTATAATGCTAGTATGTAAGTACTACATGATGGTTATGACTTCACAACGTGTCCTTTTGACGCTTTTTTAAAACTTCAACTGCTCCCACATTCGTCCACTATCAATTTGGAACTTAGACACTAAGAATTCCCTCCATCCTTCATGGTAACTGCCCTGTGTTCCTTCCAGCATGATCTTGGTCGAAATCTTTCTCCAATACTTAGCATTTTCCTAGAAATTTTTTCAACCTCTCTTCGCCTTGGGTTTCCTCAAAGTTGTGTCGAAACCTTCATCTGTTTTTAAATAACATTTTGACTTAGGATAATTCTAATTTCGCTGGCGTAGAAAATGAGAGCTAATAACAAGCTTTTGATAAGCCGCATATTACGGTAGTAATCAAGATCAGCAAAAAGACAAGGGGTACTGTCGGTATTTTCTAAAGTAGGCTCTAAATCTAGAGAGTTAGCTATGGCATAATGATACCGCCGACACAGATGGATCCACTGGATCTATTCGAAACACTAATAAGGTGGGTTAGGAGGAATGGTGTAGGATCTACTGGGGTTTGGTGGAGATCACAGTGAATAAAGAATAGATCTTTAGAGTTCACATTCTCTATGTTCTCGCGTCTAAATATGGTGGAAGCAAGGATTCAATGGAGGTAACAGATTGCTGGGTTATGGATGGTAGTGGCCTTGAGGCCTTCCCATCAGTTAGTGGTGGTGTTGGTAATGTTTCTCCAAAATTCAAAAACACTGGCTTGCCACTCACTCTCAAGGGGTGCTATGGTGGAAAGTCCCTTAGCAGTAGGAAAATCGAAAATCTGTCTAATACGCTCATGGGACAGCAAATAATCTTCGTTAAACATCCGAAAATGCATAGTTCCAGAGGTATGGGAAAGGTCATGGACATAGCGGAGCGAACTAAGAAATTCATAAGTTAATCTAACACAAATGTTGTTTGACATAGAGCAAAAGTGAGTCATACTTAGATTCCTCAGCATCCAAGCGACGCTTTGCATGAGACCTAGGAAACGAAGGGCTTCTGGGTCAGGATACCTCATTGCATCAACGAATCTTTTGAACACTCGGTGATAGTTTGCACGCTGAGTGTTTCAGATTTATCCCTCTTGAATCAAAATGGATCATGATGAGAACTAGCTCACAAGTTGGTTAATTTTTGAAGGCAGATTCAGTCTCAAAAAAATTCTAAGTGTTGGAACACAAATTTGAATGGAACACCAACCTCATGGCCTCATAACTTGAAATCAATGTATTTTTTGGGAATTCATCCTCATAGACAAAGTTGAAGTATGTAAAGAGCTTTCAAATTTATCTTTGGAGTAATAAAAATGAATTCTTGGATTGGGAGTTATGACCTTGGCAAGTTGACTCCAAATTAGGTTTTTTCAATAACTTAGAAAAAAATTCACTTTCTTCAAAGTTGCTCTTTTTACAAGTAACCTTAATTCTCTTGATTTTTCTTGATTAAAACCCATAACCAAACATATTTTTAGTGAATATTGACTTGAGAAACTCATATTTGACCAAAAACCCTAAAGTCAAAGGTTTGACTTTGTAGTAAATGGCTTGTGCATTAGATGAACTTTCACTTCTTGTTCCTCAATGAATTTAATCTTTTGGGCTATTTGAACATTTTAAATGCAATCCAAGGATGTATTTTAATGTCTTGAATCATGTCCTAAGTTTTGAAATCATGTCTTGATCAAAAGTCAAAGATGCAGTTGACTCTAGTTGAGAAAACCGTAATTCTTGGTCAAATGAAATTGAATCTTGAAGAACTTGAAATGAAGCCACATTGTACTTGATTATTGGTGAAGGGAGGTCTTTTAAGTGTATTAGAACTTATTTGATTGATGATTTATCCAAAACCTTGACTTATCAATCCTTTGAGCCTTTTAGGGCAAACCCTAATTCACAGGTGAACAAAAAGCAAACATATCTTGATAATTGGTTAACTATGCATGAATGATTGACCTAGAATGTTATGCAAATGATGATTGAATTTAGGGATAAAATTTGGGGTATGAAAATAACCAATATTGATATTAGGCATTTGAGAAATGGTCCTCATTTAAACATGGACCAAAAGGAGAGCCTTATTTCCCCTGTCACTGATGATGAAATTATGATAAGCTTGAAGGGCATGAGTGATTTGTCTACCCCTGGCATTGATGGATTCAATGCCAAATTTTTCAAAAGCTATTGGGAAATCATTAAATATGATGCAAAGAAGGCTATCAAGCACTTTTTTGAGAATGGGAAGCTATACAAAGTTGTTAACTGCACCATGGTCACTCTTATACCTAAGTCTAATGCAACAACTATGGTGAAGGATTATAGGCCTATCTCTTGTTGTACTATCATCTATAAATTGATTTATAGGATTATAGCCAGTAGGTTGAGGAAATTTTTACCTAACATCATTCATAGTAGTCAAGCTGCCTTTGTTCCTGGTAAAAAGATTCATGACCCTATTTTAATGGTCTATGAACTGATTAAAGGGTATAGCATGAGAAATGGAGCCCCTACCTAAATGTTTCCTTCAAATGGATCTCCAAAAAGCATATGACACTATTTAGTGGAATGCCTTGGAATCTATTATGAGAGAGCTTAATTTTCCTTAGATTTTCATAGGTTGGATCATGTTGATAGTGAAAACAGTCTCATACAAGTTCTATCTGAATGGGCCTTTTAATCAAATTGTGGAAGCCAAGAGAGGCCTTAGACAAGGGGATCCTCTTTCCCCCTTGTTATTTATGGTCATTATGGAATACTTGCACATAATTCTTCAAAGACTTCAAGACATTCCCAACTTCAATTTTCATTCTAAATGTGATAATATTAGCATTATAAATCTTAGCTTTGCTAATGATTTATTGTTGTTCTTTAGAGGTGATCCCACTTCTGTTGATCTTTTGATGCATAAGTTTGAGGTTTTTTCTAAGTCCACAGGGTTGAGCATTAATCCTGAGAAATGCAAGATATTATTTGGTAATATTGTTGATAGTGATAGGGTCAGCATTCAGGGTATCATAAAGTTTGCTGAAGGACAGTTTCCTTTCAAGTATCTTGGAATTCCCTTGTCTAGTAAAAAGCTTAATATATCTCACTATCTTCCTTTGATTGATAGAATTCTGGAAAGGATTAATCATTGGAGCTCTAGATTGTTGTCAATGGTTGGTAGAAGGCAATTGATAAATAATGTCATCTTGGCCCTATCTAATTTCTGGTTGCAATGCTTACCTTTGCCCAAGAAGGTGATTGTTAAGATTGAATCTGCCTGCAAGTTCTTCTTGTGGTCTGGTAGTGACAAGATCACCATAAAATCTCTCATAGCTTGGAAGAAACTGTGTATTCCAAAGAAGCATGGTGGTTTAAATATCATTGATTTGAGTAAGTGGAACAAGGCTTGTTTAGCTAAGCTGTTGTGAAATATTAGTTAGAAAGCTGACAACCTTTGGATAAGGTGGCTCCATTATTATTACATCAAGTCACAAAATATAATGACAATGGACATCAAATGTAACACTTCTTGGATTCTTAAAGCCATATTGAAAATGAGGCCCATTGTCTCTGTGTTAAACTACTAGAATCCTAGTATGCAGGTTAGAAACTTTAAAACTGGTAGAATACATGCTGATATGACTGACTCTAATCAGGTTGACGAGTGGAGGGCCATCCTTTATAACAACCAAGTCATGCCTAGATCCTAATTTACTCTTTGGCTTGCTTATCATAGTCGATTGGCCACAAACGATAGACTCAAAAGATTTGGGCTCATTGCTGAAGATATATGCAGTTTCTGTAATGAAACTAAAACTGTGAACCACCTATTTTTTCAATGTCGTACTTTGAGGAAAATCTGGAGCAATGTGTTAGATTGACTGGAGATTCAACATATCCCTGATAGTTGGAGTTCAGAGTTCAATTAGGTGATTGAGAATACTAAAGCCATGAGTCCTGAGTATCAAATATTGAAGTGTGCTTTGGCTGAAACTATCAATGAGCTTTGGAGGATAAGAAGTGATGTGTGTTTTGGAGCAAATCAAAACTGGCAACATGTAGTAACCAACATTATTAATGTAATTACCATTATGTGTTTGGATGAAAGCTAAATTTAGAAAAACCATAGATAGTTTTTTATTGACTTAGGTTTGTGTTGGTGTTCTTTGTCCTTTGGCTAGTTGGATCTTGGTCGCTATGCGTTTTTTTTTTGTTGAATAAAGTATCTTTATTCCAATATATATATATATATATATATATATATATATATATATATATATATATATATATATATATATATATATATATATATATATATATATATATATATATATATATATATATATATATATATATATATATATATATATATATATATATATATATATATATATATATATATATATATATATATATATATATATATATATATATATATATATATATATATATATATATATATATATATATATATATATATATAATTAATGTAATAATTCTATTTTTTTTCAAATGCGGACAAATATAATTAATCAAATAGAAATCAAATTAATAAAATGTATGTCTTAAATATAATTAATCATAAAAACATTTATATCTTATTTCAAAATAATTATTTATGTATTATTAAAAATAAGTAAGTATTTATTTATGTCTTATTAAATAATAAATAAATTACAAATATAACAAATTTAGAATATAATAAATTTCATATTGAAATTAATATTAATAAATATGAAATATAAAATAATTAAAATAAAAGTATAAGTGAAAATTAATTCGCGTGACTTTTATTTTTTATTTTAAGATTGGAAAATTTAATATTTTAAAATTAAATCGTATGTTAAATAAATATTTTTATAAATAACTATGTATTAAGATTTAATAAATTCTAATTTTTAAAAAGTAAAAAATATATAATTCAAAACTCAACTCATTTGATTTGAACCTAATGGTTAAAAAAATTACACTACACAAGTATTAAATTGGTAATTTTTTTTGTTTTGGTTTTTTTTGTCCTCTAATTCTTAAGAAAAAGTAGTTCTAGTAATTTAGAACTCGGCCTTAGAAATACGTGGTCTAATTAAGTATTATTTCTACCAAAAACTGAATTTGATATTTCTTAAATCTTCTTTTTTAACATAAACTCATTTACTATTCGAGTCCAAATACTTAGTTAATACAATTAAATTAAAATTTAAAAGATAGTGATTCATTTATTGTAATTTTTAAAACCGTTTGATGAATCTCTCAAATAATTGAATGCATGATAATTTTATTACTCGAGAGAATCTAATTTCCTCAAAGATGCACACCAACCTTTAAATTTTGTCTAACTAGTTTAATTCCCACGCTTGATAGATTAAAATCAAGTGATTCAAACAAGTCAAACAATCAATAGTCAAACTAACAAACTTTTATTCAGAATCACAGCATATAAAACAAAAGAGACATGTCTTTTGATGATCAAGTGTCCTTTAATCAGTCTGAAAGAAACACAAAGCTTTGACTCAAAAATTGTAATTAAATCATAAAACTATTTAAAATCTCACAGATGAAACAAATACATAGATTTCTGACAAGTGACCATTCATTGTAAATCCCAACTTTATTTATTTTCTTCACCTATAAATATCCCCAAAATATTAATTCATCTTTAAGATGCTTTATATGTCACATTCACATGAATGTTAACAACAGTGTTGTACTGCATAATTGCATCATACCTGGATCAGTAACAAACCACATTTACAAACTGACCTATAAATTTAAGTGGTCACCCACACACACCAAAAACAGGTAGGACTCGTTAATAATAATAACTTTGTGATTTGTGTCATTCAAACACTTCCAAAATTTGAAATTATAGAGATATATATTATTACTCAAATTATTGACATTGATATATAGCATTAAGGTCACAATCATGAGCATGTGGTGTTTTGAATTTAAAAGTAATTTAAAGAGCCCACATATCGTACGTGTTATTATGAGGAACTGCAAAAATGGACATGCAAACACTAAAAGCATATTTGTGTCACATGCCAGCCTAAGACAGTGCTTGTGTTATTAATATTCACTCACTGCACGTGAACAGCGGTAATGCACACCATGCTTGCCTGCTTCTGATTCTTAATTGCTTATCAAAGTCAAAATTGTCGTGTGGAATATTCTTATGATTTGGATCTTGATGATACCATGTGTCTAATCATAGTTTTATTATATGCATGGCATATAAATAATTGAGTTTATCATGGTTACTATTATGGAAAAGAAAACCTGTTCATTAATTGTGAAATGATGATACAAGGTTGTTTAAGTAAAGATATATGGACTAAGTTAGTTATGGGGAGACTATTATACTGCTAAGTATAATAATTGTGAGTAATATGGATAATAGTTTTACATTAGATAAAAATGTGGAGATTTGAACATTTATAAATGGGAGAATCTATATACCTACCGCTTTAAGATTTTGAGTGAATATGTGGTGTACCTCTCATAAAGGTGTTGCTCAAAGTAAGAAGTCACACAATGTTCAATGCTCTTTAGTTGAAAAACTTTTCCAACAATGTTATCAGAGTCTGGTTCTAGTGAATGACAAACTCACTTATATCGAAAGTACTCCCCACAGGTGGTATCAAAGTTTGGTTCAAGTGAAGGACTGACTCACCTTTGTGAATGAAAAGAGCTTCCGCTTAAGAGAGAGCATTGTGCAAGCATTGTGGATAGACTCACACTTGAGGGGGAGTGTTAAGTATAACAAGTGTGAGTATTATGGATAATAGTCCTACATTTGATAGAAATGTGGAGACTTGAGCATTTATAAGGGGGAGAACCCATACACCTATCACCTTAAAGTTTTGGGTGAATATGTGGTGTGTCTCTATCAAAGGTGTTGCTCTAGAAAAGAAAAGTCACACAATATTCAATGCTCCCTAGTTGAAAATCTCCCCTAACATATACAATAGCGTAATCTCTAACAAACTTCAAACACCATAACAAACTATTAACTATCTAACTAACATACAATAACCTACGTAGTTTGTGTAACAAGCTAGTTAGTTGGTCATTCTTTTAACTAACTTGCTACCATGAGAAAACTATGTATGGTGTGATATCCTCCCATAAATTGGAGGATAGATGTTAATCATATCCTAGTTGGATAAAAGAAGATGAAATAACAGAGGACAAAGGCTTAGTGAAGAAGTCATCTCATTGATCTTTAGATGAAATAAAAAGAAGTTTGAGAATATTGACCTGCAACTTTTTACGAACAATGTGACAATCAATCTCAAGAGATACTTTGTTCTTCCATAAAAATCAGTGATGGCTGCAATGTGTATGACATTGAGGTTGTCACAATAAAGAACACGAGGTTTGTTATATTTCACTTGAAGATCATTGAGTAAATATACAAGTCATTCTAATTCACAGGTGGTACCTGCAAGTGATTTATACTCAGCTTCAGAAGAAGATCTTAAAATAGTCAATTTCTTCTCAGAACACCATGAAATTAAAAACTTATTAATAAATAAACATTGTCTTGAGATGGTTCTTTGTGTTTCTATACATCCTACATAATTTGTATAAGAAAAACTCATGATTTGTAGATGTGAATCACTTGAAAAGAATATACCTTGAGTAAGACATCTTTTCAGGTACCTTAGTGTTCTAGTGGCAGCTTTATAGTAGTTGATGGTATAATTAGTGAGGAACTAACTCTATTGTTTTATAATGAGAGTGAAATATGGTCTTATGGCTATAAGGTAGAGAAGTCTTCCAACAAGGTGCCTATATACACGTATATGTGTGTATGGAGACTTGCATCATTCATCAGTTTGTTAGAAGGATCTTTATGGGGTGTGACATATTTTAATCCAATTAAACCTACTTCAGAAATCAATTCCAAGAAATATTTTCTTTGACACAAAGTGATTCCTTACTTGGAATGAGCTACTTCAAGACATATGAAATACTTCAATTGGCCTAGGTTTTTAATTTGAAATGTGTGACAAAGAACCTGTTTGATTTTGTCAAACTCAAACAATGAGTTACTCGCAATTATGATGTCATTAACATATACTAAAAGCAAAGTGAATATGTCGGTAGTTTTCTTGATGAATAAGAAATGGTCTAAATTGGCTTGAAGGAATTTGTGTGCAATAAAAAGAGATGTGTGATTTTCATACAATTTCCTACTTGCTTGTTAAGACCGTCAAATTTGATGATTTTACACACGTGGTTGGGTTTTTATGAAACACTTCCTTGTGGTATGGTCATGTAGTCATCTTCCTATAAATCTCGATGTAAAAAAAAGGCATTGTTTACATCTAGATGATGGATAAACCAACGATTAATAGTTATTAAAGTAATACCAAGTTTGATTGAAGTTTTTTTTGCAACAAGAAAATATGTGCAAAAGTAA